AAAAAAAATGAAAATGGGGGGTGATCATAAATTATGGAAGCTACATGCCAGCAACAAAGATGAAAATAACCAAGTTTCAAGGCCTGTTTTCACTTGGGTTGCAGGACAGCTACAGAAGAAGTGCACAATGATGGCAAAGCTGCCCCAAGCAGAGGATCTCTATAATAAAAAAAAAAAAAAAAAAAATTTAAAAGATTGACTATACAAGAAAGGACAGCTGAATGCACCTTTGATTTACCAACTATGAGATGGAGATGACTTCAAATTCCTGTGTTTGTGTGTTATTTTATTTCTTTCATTCCATTCATTTCCCATCCCTCCTTCTGCACAGCAGCACATCTTTAGCTACAGGTACTCAAGAGTCTAATTTAAGTATCAAGGAGAAATCAAAGAAAAAAGAAAAGAAGGTGAATTATTTCAGTAAAACTACTGACACTTTTCTGCTATCCATCAGAAGCTTCCTGAAGACAGCAGCATTTCCCCATCAAATTCTTGTTTTGGCAATCCCCTAATAAATGTTTCCAGGTGGTATAAATCTCATACCTATAGAGAAGTTGCTCTTATGGGGGGTCAAGCCTAGATCCAACTAAGTCTCAGCCTGGCATTGAATCAGCTGTGTAAAAAAGTTTAAGTGGAAGGAAAAAAAATTAAGTTCTCTGGGTTTTCCCTTAAAAATCTCCTTTTTGGTGGGAAAGAAGACATTTGTGTCACAGGAGGAACTTGCTCTGCTGGACTGGAGCTTGCACTCCAGGGAGAAGAGGTCATGCCATGGTCATTTGCTCATGTGGTCCCTCCTCCAGAGGCAGCTGAAGGAATTGGCACCTCTTTGCAGCTGAACAAAACTGTGCAAGGTGTGACTTCGGGAGAGCAGCAGCCTAAAGGGACTCCTGGAAGAGAGCTGGGCAGCCTTGGTTCACACACAGCCCCTGGCTGCTGTCCACAGAGGGCTTGGGATTGGAGCGTGTGTGTGGAAAACCAGCACCCCACAAGGCTGCCTGGAAAAGCAGCCAGAGTGACCTGACAGGGAGATCCAGGCTCCTGCTTTTACCCTCACCTTCACACTGTCCAAGTGTAAATTTACCTGCACTTAAAACAGGCAACAGGACTCGAGGGAGTCCACAAAGAGCTCAGGAGGTCACCACTGAACCCTCTAGAACAGGCACATCAACACCAGCTACTTAAAAAAGGAGGGGTTTTTCAAGTTTGTACCTCCTCCATAGGGTAAATTATTTTATCCTTTCTGTCCACTTTCACAGTGGTTTCTCTTTACATCCTCCTGCCTACCACAAATGCAAATAATTTTCCAGAATAATCAAGCACATGGAGAAAACAAGGTATTTGCATGGATGAAACCACAACAAAGAGAAAGGAAATGCACGTGTCCCATAACACAGATGTTTGATGAAGAGAAAGAACCGAAACCAGCAGGAAAATCCTCATTAAGTGCATTTACAGCTCATCCTGAAAGTGATACAGTTTTATGGAGGTATCAAAAAAATAAAAATACCTCATCTCTAGAGCCTCACTTGAGAAACAAGCCAGCACAGAGGTCTCACTCCTGCCCTGCAAGATTTATGGAGCATGGGCAGAGAATCCCTCCATGAGTACATGAAACCCCAAACTAAAATAAACATCAGCCATTAAAACAAGGATTAAATGCTTGGTGGATTCTTTATTTGAACAAACTGATGTTACAAATTTTGTGGTGCAGATGTCAAGTGTTAGTGTGAAGGCATAAGAGGCCATAAACCATGGGCAGGAGCTGTCAGAGAAGTTTACATTGCAGGGAGCACACAGCACATGATTTTAGGAGTCAGGTGTTGTCTGCTTAAGAGGTCAGAGAATTTAGTATGAAATATGAGCTGAAACAGTCAATCTACAACACAGCATGTACATGCTGCAGGTGACTGGGTACAGGGGGCATTACTCTTTGGCCAGTCACTCTGACAGTGTGTTATACAGTCTATTGGGCCAAAAATTCCACAAAATTCAGGACTGTGAGGTGAATGGAGAAGGGTGAAACACCCCCAGATCCTCAGCAATAAATGGCTGTAACACTGCACAAGTTCACTAGGTGACTTTCATTTACCCTTCCCTGGCTCATCACCTTCAAAGCCACATGATCCACACCATGTCCTGCAGTCTTTGAAGTCTCCCTCAGAATGGGAAGAAGCAGAGTCCCCACTGTGATCAGAAGCACAACAAGGCTCTTCTGAGGCCTCTGTAGAAAACTCCTGATGTTCAGTGCTTTTTATGGCAACTCAACAGATGTGCAATTCCAGAGCAACCGCCCCAAATGACCTTTTCCTATTACACACCAAAAGCACTGTCTAGCACTGTCTGGCTTTTGGCAGATTCTTGCTGTAAGTGCAGAGTCCTTTCCTGTTCCTCCTCCCTCCCTTCCAACTGTATTTCCCAGACTCATCTGAAAGCAACAGCTTCTCCTACAGCCTTCCACTATTTTTTTCCTGCCTAATCTTTCCCTTTGTAATTTTAGCTACCTCATTCTTGTTAAACCCACTGACAGTTTCTGGATGCCATTCAACAAAAGCCACAAATAAAAGTTAAACTGCAGAATTCTTTCTGCAATGCCAGATTTCTCCTTAGAAGCTCTTTTATATTGCTGCCTTAAAAACTCTCTCCAGCTCTTCCTCAGGAGCCCTTTGCTCCCTTCCCTCCTCCCATGACCCCTTTAACATCTCCCCATACCCTCGATGGAGGGCAAGCTCTGTTCTACCATGTCCTGTTATTTCAGTAGCATAAAAAGGAAGAGAGGGCATCCAAGTGGGGCAAACAGCTAAAATTAATTCTCTCTAAGCCCCAGGAGTTTCCAGAGAAACTCTGACTGCTACTCACATTAAGCAGGTTTTATTAGCTTCACCTAAAAATAAAAATCATCACCTCTCCAAAGCAAAACAGAAAGAAAAGGGAGATCCTGCACACAAACCAAGCCTAGAAATTAAAGGAAGTCCTTGAGATGTATTCTCACTACTCAGCCTAAAACCCTCTGCCACTGCTGAATTATCAGAGGGACAGGATACCACAAAATGTCCCTGGTACCAGCAGCAGGATAGAAGCACCTCTCCAAAGGTAATTAATCCCAGACATGAAGCCCCTTTGCCTCTGCCAGGATGCAGCACAAGAACTATCTCTGTGCTCTGGCCTGTAATATCTCCATCAAAACCTTGGAATTTCAGATTTACCAAAGCCAGCTGATGCCAGTAGATTGCCTGAAATTCAGGAATTAGAAATAGTTGCTTATTGAAAAAAACAGCTGATTACAGATTGAGAACTGTCCACTCACTTTTAATGCCCTGTCCTACAAAACGGCATCTCCAATTTCTCTCTCACTGGAATGGCAGACAAAATCAGGCATCAACTGCTAGGAAAAATTATTGCAGAGCAGAATGATCCGTTATTTCCTAATTCACCTTCCAAAAATGGTTTTGTTTTGCTTTGGGGTTTTTTTGTTTATTTTTTTCTCCCAAACAGTCACTTTCATACCAAATCACAAGTTCATGACTATTTCTCTGGCAAAGCAGCAAACAAGAACTTGAGACAGAAGTCATGAACTCTGAGCTGCATCTCAAAACACCACAGATTTTACTGCAAGGATTGTTATCCAAGTTAGTCTGTGGCTTGGACACATCAGTTAAAACCTTATTCTTCTGCAAAACAAACTCAAGTCATCAGCACAACTCATCAGGACTTTGTTTTAATGGCAGGTCAGGA